TCTCTTATTTTCATGGTTTTCCTTTTCTCTAATTTTCCTGCTTTTCCCTCTTCTTTCATTTTCCTGCTTTTCCCTCTTCTCTCATTTTCCTGTTTTTCCTTTTCTCTCTCTTCCCTCCCTTTCTTCTTCTCTTCCCTCCCTTTCCTCTTCTTTCTTCCTTCCCTTTCCTCTTCTCTCTCTTTTATCCCTTCCCTCCCTTTCCTTTCTCTCTCTCCCCCATTCCTCTTCTTTCTTCCCTCCTTTCCTCTCTCTCTCTTCTATCCTTCCCTCCCTTTCCTTTCTCTCCCATCCCCTTTCCTCTTCTTTCTTCCCTCCCTTTCCTCTCCTTTCTTCTCTTCCTTCCCTTCTCTCTCTTCCCTCCCTTTCCTTTCTCTCCCATCCCCATTCCTCTTCTTTCTTCCCTCCCTTTCCTCTTCTCTCTCTTCTATCCCTTCCCTCCCTTTCCTTTCTCTCCTATCCCCTTTCCTTCTCTCTCTTACCCTCTCCATGTACTCCTTATTCCCTTTCTCTTACTCACACCCTCTCTACCTTTCCCATCCCCATTCCCTCTTCCCCTCTCTCTCTCCCTCCTTCCTTTTATCCTTTCTCCCCTCGTACTCTTCCTCTCTCTACCTTTCACTCTCCTCTACCTCTTTCTCTTTACTTCTTTCTCTCCCTCTTGCGGCGTCTCTTCGCAATCACACGTGGAGGGTTAGAAAGAGCGGGGGGGGGGCATTCTTCTGTTGATTTTCCACAATATTACTTTTTTCTCTCTTTTTTTCTCTCTTTTTCTTTTTCGGAATTAAATCTCGGCAGTCACAGTCGCGCGGTTAAACTTTAAACCTTGCTACGACGACCCACCATTATATATAAATATACATATATATACACATATTTATGTATATCATATTATATATATATATATATATATATATATATATATATATATATATATATATATATATATATAACACATATATACACACACACACACATACACACACACACACACACACACACAAACCCACTCCACTCCACAACCCACTCCACCTCCCACTCCCCTCCTAGACCCACTCCACCCCACCCCAACCACCTCCCAGATCCACAACACAGTACTCACCAGTATGTGGGGTGCTGACCTCGCTTGACCTTCACCTCAGGCCTCAGTCTGTGGGAGAAGAGACATGAGCTGTGACATGCTGTGGCTGTGAAATGACAAATGCAGACCCCCCCCCTTTTTCCCACGCCTGTCCCCTCTCCCCCCCCCCTTCTATGCTGTGCCATGAGGTAGTATATGCTGAGTCCCATGCTGTTTTTTTCCCTTCTATGCTGTGTTTAAGGTACTGAGGTCAATGGCAGCATCTTTGGACTATGCTGTAGTATGATGGGATTAAGTACTGCTTCCTTTTGCATGGAGGATAATGCATGGTAGTGATACCTCCAACATCAACCAATCAACAACAATTGCTTTAAATCAATTGGATGTTAGATTTGGTCATGTTAGAGTTGACGGTTTTAGAAATAAAGCATTTTGCACGGAGGATAATGCATGGTAGTGATGCATAATTGAATGCATGAATTTGAGACAATTACTTGCTTTCAAATCAAGTGAATGTATGATGATGATACATCTAATGGTTTTAAAATCAACTGAATGTATGGAATTGCTTTAAACATGCTTTCATCTAATTATTCATGATGATACATCTAATGGTTTTAAAATCAACTGAATGTTGATGATGATACATCTAATGGTTTTAAAATCAACTGAATGCATGGTTATGTTAAATTCAATTGCTTTAAGATTGATTAATTGAATGTGTTTTTTTTATACAAATACTGCTATAGTCAAATGAATGTGTGATCAAGATACATTTAATTATTTTAAAATCAATTGAATGCACGGTTATCATATATCCATTTGCTTTAAAATCAACTAAATGCATGATTATGATAAATTCAAAAGCATTAAATCATATCTTATGTATAACCATGATAAATTCAACCGTTTTAATTAAAACTTCTTTTGATGAAATATTGACATTCACCTCCATCGTGTAAAATTTACATCTACCACTTTCATCATACACACACACACACACACACACACAGACACACACACACACACACACACAACACACCACTCACACACACATCACACACACACACATCAAACACACACATACACACACACACACACACACACACACACACACACACACACACACACACACACACACACACACACACACACACACACACACAACACACACACACACACACAACACACACACACACACACACACACACACACACACACACACACACACACACACACACACACACATCACACACACACACACACACACACACACACACACACACACACACATACATATATATATATATATATATATATATATATATATATATATATATATATATATATATATATATATAAATTCACCACCATCATTCACTAAGGGTCCTCACGCCTCTCTCCCTTCACTAAATTCCCTTCCATAATAACCACCATGAAATTTCCATTCGTCACCATCCCACCATACACAACTTTCCCTAAAATCAGGTTTCCGTGTCTTCGCAAAACCATGACCACTAAAGACGTCTACAAAATGAGGAAGAAATGAAAACGAGAGAAAGATTTGAAAAGAAAAAGAAAAAGAAAAAGGAGAGAAAAAGTGATTAAAAAATTCAAACATCGCCGTATTTTTATTTCTATTTTTTTTTCTTACATAACAGTATTAAATAAATAAACGTGACTAATTACAGACATCGCGGCCATTTCTTAAACCTATTTATCGCTCATTGTATATAACATTCTTGCATTATCAAATAAATAAACCTCTTCTCAAGACTACCAGACCAGACGAGACGAAGAGGAGAGAAGAAAGAAGAAGGAGAAGAAGAAGAAAAGAAGAAGAAGAAAGAGAAAGGAGAAGAAGAAAGGCAGAAGAAGAAAAAGAAGGAGGAGAAGAAAGAGAAAGAGAAGAAAAAAGAAAAAGAAAGAAAAAAGAAAAGGAAGAAGAAAAAAGAAAAGGAAGAAGAAAAAGAAAAGGAAGAAGAAGAAAAGGAAGAAAATTAAAAAAAGAACAAAAGGAAAATAATAAGACGATGTAGAAGACGACGAAATGGGCTGATCACCACATGACTCTCCACATGACTGACATCTGACTCTCCACATGGGCATGACAACTTGGCTCGAAAGAACTCCACAGAAACTTGCATAAAAGGGAGTAACTTGACAGCGCGATAAATCTAACTTAGGCATTTCGATTTCATAATAAGCTTCATCATTATAACTTTTCCTTTTTTTTTACGTTTGTCGAGAGCGAAAGGATTCACAGAGCGAGGAATATAAATTGGGCATTTCGGAGTTATATCTTCATCAAAAATTACTTTCTTTTTTTTAACCTTTTTTTTGGCTTCACGCTGTTAGAAATGCAACTTAGGCAATAACATTAATTTCGATGTTATGTCTTCATCGAAAAAGTACTTTCGTTTTTTTTTATCTACATTTACTGCGAGGATTACATCGACAATTCAATGTTATTATCTTCATCATAATCACTTTCTTTTTGTTAAACTCATCTACACGACGAATCTCGTCCCCTCTCATATAATCAGTAATCATGTTAATCTCTTCTCTCTCTCTCTCTCCCTCTCTCCCTCTCTCACCGCCTCTCTCCTCTCTTCTCTCTCTTCTCTCTCTCTCTCTCTCTCTCTCTCTCTCTCTCTCCCTCTCTCTCCCCTCTCCCTCTCTTCTCTCCCTCTCTCACGCCCCTCTCCCCTCCCCCCTCTCTCTCTCTCTCTCTCTCTCCTCTCTCCCTCTCTTCTCTCTCTCTCTCGGTTACATCATCATTTAATTACTTTCCATTTTTTCCTACATTTGTCGAGAGCGAATGGCTTCACAGAGCAAGAAATATAACCTAATAATTTCGATGTTATATCTTCATCAAAAATTACTTTTTTTTTATTCTACATCAATCACAAAAATTCACCTGGCGAACTCATCCCATTGTTTACGAAAAATAAAACAACAACAACAACAAATAAATGAAATAATAATAATGAACATGATGAAACGGCATTAATTACGACAAATAAAAAATAAATAATAATAATGTGAATGATAAAACAGTGTTAATTACGACAAATAATAAATTAAATAATAATGAGAATGATGAAACAGCGTTAACTACGAAAAATGAAAAAACGATAATAAATAAAATAATAATGAGAATGAATACCTCCTCAATGCAAGAGATGTATCAGACCGGTTTCGATCCTATATATATATATATATATTCGAAACCGGTCGGAGACTTCGCTTGCACTGTGAAGATTCTCATTCTCATTCATGTCTTTTTCACAAACCATTATATAATATTCTTACAGACCTTCGTAAATCGTCTTGCTAATACAGACTCACTTTCCGCAAGAAGAATCAAAAACGATTTTATCTAAAATACCAAACTCTAATTTCTGGAATTAATAATATTACTAATACATTGATTAAGTGCAAGAAAAGTCCTCAACTTTGCAAAAATTAATTCAGTTTCCTGAATTTCCTGAAGCGAAACTGAATCTAATAACAAATCCACAAAATTTGATTAAAAATTCAATGTCACACACAAAAACTACTCATCTTCACAAAAAAAAAAAAAAAAAAAAAAAAAAAAAAAAATACATGGAATTCAATCCCATCACAAAAGAAATAAATCAATCACATCACAAAAAATCCAATCAGAATTTTGCAAAAATACATTCTAGATCTCACAAAAACTCCATTCACAAATTCACACACACACAAAATAAAACGATTACACATACAAAAAAGGAAAAAAATCCCCCAAAACACCCCATTTTCACAAAAAAACACCAATTTAACCCCACCCCTTCCCCCTCCCCAAATCATACCACCCACCCCCACCCCCCCAACCCCCGATTTCACACGCGCAAAAACAACCCTCGACCCTTACCCAAACCCCGACAGCAAACCGATCATCCAACACACAAGATTCCCAACCTTTTATTACCTCCCATCCCCACACGCGGCAAAAAAGAGCCAACCCCAACCCCCGCCCCTCAGAACACGTCCCCTACAAGGCACTCCCCTCCAACCACGACAGCCCACGTACAAGGACGAAAATGTACTCCACAAGGACGAAAATGTAACTAAGGACGAAAATGTACTCCACAAGGACGAAAATGTACTCCACAAAGGACGAAAATGTACTCCACAAGGACGAAAAATGTACTCCACAAGGACCTATCCTATCATGCGCGGCGACGTCGGAGACAAGGACCGCACCTCGCACGTTCTCGCACACGCGCGCGCACACCAATGGCCGGTCCCGGAGACACGCGTGCACATTAATGACTGATTCTGAAGGACTTCGCGCATGCGTGTTGTGTAAGAGAGGGGGGGGGGGCGAACGCATTAACCCGAACGAGAGCCTCCTCCTCTGCTGCTAAAATATTGGCACTGGTTTAGTGGATAAGAAAAGAGGGAGAGGGAGGGGAGAGGGGAGAGGGGGAGGAGGGGAGGGAGGGAGGGAGGGGGGAGGGAGAGGTGAGGAGGGAGGGAGGGAGGGAGGGGGAGGAGGGAGGGGAGAGGAGGGAAGAGAGGGAGGGAGAGAGGGAGAGAGAGAGAGAGAGAGAGAGAGAGAGAGAGAGAGAGAGAGAGAGAGAGAGAGAGAGAGAGAGAAGAGAGAGAAGAGAGAGAGAGAGAGAGAGAGAGGAGGCACAAAAAGACAGCAAGAACGAAAGACAATGAGACAATAAGACAGAGAGCGAGGGAGACAAGTATACAGATGCTGAGACAAGACAGAGACAGATGACAAGACGCGGCAGACAGACAGAGAGATAGATAGAACAAGAGAAAGAAAGAGATAGTGAGAAAAAAGAAAGAAAGAGGGAGAGAAATAGTTATCGTCAGAGAGATAGAGAGATGAGCAGAACAGAGGAGAGCAGAGAAGAGAAGAGAGAAGAGAAAAGAGAGAGGAGAGAAAGAGAGGGAGGGGGAGAAGGGGAGGCATAAATAGAATAACACAAGCAGGCAGATACAAGGAGACAAAATGCAGATTAACAAGGAAATGTAGAGAACCAGATAAGGAGATAAAGATGGAGAGACAAGGACAGATATATATTGAGCAAATGGCAAATGTGATTCAGAAACATTGATCAGAGAGAGAGAGAGAGAGAGAGAGAGAGAGAGAGAGAAGAGAGAGAGAGAGAGAGAGAGAGAGAGAGAGAGAGAGAGAGAGAGAGAGAGAGAGAGAGAGAGAGGGGGGGGAGAGAGAGAGGAGGAGAGATGACGGAGGGGAGAGGGAGAGGGAGAGGGAGAGGGAGAGGGAGAGAGAGAGAGAGAGAGAGAGAGAGAGAGAGAGAGAGAGAGAGAGAGAGAGAGGAGAGAGAGAGAGAGAGAGAGAGAGAGAGAGAGAGAGAGAGGGAGAGATAGAGAAAGAGAGGGAGGGAGGGAGAGAGAGAGATAGAGAGATAGATAGACAGAGAGATAGAGAGAAAGAGAGGGAGAGAGAGAGAGCAATCACATACATGCAACACCAACACCAGCACTAGCACAGCATAACACAACAACACAAACACACAACAACACACAAGACAAAGACACCCGCCCGCACCTCAGTTTTCCTCCTCAAGACCATCCAGGTAAGTCCACCTGCCTACGCAATCATCCTAACACGGGAGCCATACAAGGTCTACCTCCACCAGGAATAAAAAAAGAAATACAAAACAAAACAAACCACGAAAGAAGAAAAAAGGAGAATAGAAGGATATAGAGAAATCCTAGGATGTCCTATCGTCGACGGAGAGGTGATACGTAGGAGTTAACTTCTGGCAAAGGACGACTCACCTGGTGAACAGCTGATCGCCTCCTCCTCTGGGTGTGCGGCCGGCCCGAGCCAACCCCCGACTCGCCTTCGAATACACACGTAATCCCAACACTGTATCGTCCTTTGTATTTCATTCCTCATGTGACATTATCCTACGTTCCGTTTTTCTATTTTTTCATATCATTCTCCCGGTGCTAAAACGAGAGACGAGACAGCACGGCTCCGTAAAGGATGAAAATAGTGGAGGAGGAAGCGCAGTCACCCTCGCGCATCCCTTTCGCGACCACAAAGTTACGCTGACTGTGAGCGCCTTGCTTCCTCCAACCCGCAACGTTTACGCTCTGGCCTGACCCCTCCCCCCAGCTGATGCGCGTTGCCAACTATTCTTATATATTGGCGATTTTATGGCCGATCCTTCAGTGGAATGGTGATTCTGGCAAGAGCAAGGGATATGTGGAACATTTGAGAAGAAGTCTTGGTTTGTAAGACACTGTGAAGTCCTTTGGGAGAATTACACTGATCGCCCAAAGGCAACACTCCCCGCAAGAAGTAACTAACCTCAGGCGAAGGGAGGACTTTGTATGTGACTTTCCCTCTATCTGGCCTTTTTCCTTGCGTTATATGTCATGATTGACGATGGTAATGCTCACGACCTTCGTCTGCACAGTTATGCATGTCTGTCCCGAAGCGGCGTGTCTTAAAGAGGTCGCAGCGCCCGTCTCCAAAGTGCTGTTTCGGGGCATGACCGTCGGTTGCCGTCAACCGCCACGCGCCTAATAACAACCAGAAGAGCCACGGCGTACCGGCTTCCTTTATTTTTTATGACTTATCTTTTCCAGACGATGAATGTAAATGGTCTATTACATGATTTTAAAAATGACTCAAAAGAATGCCATAAGCGACTCGAAATCACACAGCAACTTCAGTCCGGCCAGGCAGCTGAGCCCGGCAGGTGGTAAGGCAGTAGGGTCCAATTTAGCGGTAAACATAATGGACAGACCGCCGTTAGCGTGACCTCTCCGGACACACAGGAAGCAAACTTCACTTATTACGCTTACGAGTCTTCCCATTTATCAAGTGCGCGCTTCCTCTGCATCCCATCAAAGCAGGATTGGCGGAAGGAAGGAGCGAGGCAACTCCTTCTCGCCTCCATGGCCTCCCTTCCCGAGCAGGATTTTCCCGCAGCCCGGACTCGTGCTTCGCGTGGGCGCCCCACCTCAAGCCCAGGGCCCCGCTGGTCGCCGTCACTCTCGAGGCTTTGTGCGCCGCGAATGGGAGGAAACCAGTGTGAAATGAGCTGCTTCGAGTGGGAGAAACGCGCACTTTTGTTCGCCCTTTCCCCTAGCCCGTGCGCAGGCGGCGACATTTCAATACACTGCGCTTCTCAAAGTCTGAAATATCATCGGAGCCCCGTTATGTCTCTCGACCCCGTTATACAGTACCGGTGACCCCGTTTATGTCTTTTTTTACAGACGGACTCGACCTAAAGAAAAGAAATACAACGCACATACGACCACGGGGGAATCGCACTCAGTTTTATCAATGAAAGTCCACACCAGATTGCAACGAGGCATTCTTCCTTTCTGAGACATATTGCTAATCGCCGATTTGCACACATAGGCAAGATTGACCGTTTTGCAAATGACTAAAAGATAACTATCAATAAGCTGGGAAAAATTATCGAAACCTCGTTATAAAATGAAAACTAAAATCCATCTTCTCTAAAGAATTTTAAAATACATCAATTCAAATACAAATTACACATGAACGGCTAAAAAAACAAGTTGAAACCAAACCGATCATATCCTTCTACACCACCACCACCACAACAACAACACCACAGCAACACCAACAACACCAGCTACAATGCCAACACACAGCTACAACACAACAACACCAAGCTACAACACCAACAACACCAGCTACAAACAACAACACCAGCTACAACACAACACCAGCACAACAACACACCAGCTACAATGCTACAACAACACCAGCCACACCAACACCATCACCACCACCCACCAACAACAACAACAACGCCATTCCCACACACACACATGACTCCTGTCACGTATGCAGGACCTCTTCATTCATGACCGAGGACTCTGGTTCAGTGGCAGGCGCTGCAATGCTGGAAAAAAAAAATCATTGCCTCACCCAGCCTATACTTTTCTTTTCCTGGTTCGATGGACGCGTCTCGGGTTCTGAGACTCTCGGCGATTTACTTTCACACGTTATTCTTCTCTTTTCTTTCCTCTTCTTTCTTTTTTCTTTTTCTTCTTCTTCTTCTTTTCTTTCTTTTCTTTTCCTTCTTCTTTTCTTTTCTTCTTCTTTTTCTTTTCTTCCTTCTTCTTCTTCTTCTTCTTCTTCTTCCCTTCTTCTTCTTCTTCTTCTTCTTCTTTCTTCCTTCTCCTCCTCCTCCTCCTCCTCCTCCCTCCTCCTCTCCCCTCCTCCCCTCCTTCTCCTACTCTTCCTCTTTTCGCTCTTCTCTCTCCTCTCTATAAGCACGCGCATGCAGAGAGATACACACGCACAGGTGCAGTAGTAAAAGCGAGGTATAGTATATGCTAATTTTTTTGTGCATAATGTGTGTTGTATGCATTGTGTGCGTATGTGTAATGTATATGTATGTATGTGTGTGTGTGTGTGTGTGTGTGTGTGTGTGTGTGTGTGTGTGGTGTGTGTGTGTGTGTGTGTGTGTGTGTGTGTGTGTGTGTGTGTGTGTGTGTGTGTATATATATAATATATATATATATATATATATATATATATATATATTATATATATTGCTATGAATACGAATGCATGTTTGTGATGCTTAGCTGTTGACCTTCTTATTATTTTTTGTTTCTCTCTCTCTCTCTCTCTCTCTCTCTCTCTCTCTCTCTCTCTCTCTCTCTCCTCTCTCTCTCTCTCTCTCTCTCTCTCTCTCTCTCTCTCTCTCCTCCTCTCTCTCTCTCCTCTCTCTCTCTCTCTCTCGTGTGTGTGTGTGTGTGTGTGTGTGTGTGTGTGTGTGTGTGGTGTGTGTGTGTGTGTGTGTGTGTGTGTGTGTGTGTGTGTGTGTTTGTGTATATATATATATATATATAAATGCGTGTGTAAATATATATATATACATATACACACGCATTTATGTATGACAC